AGTTTGGAAGCATTCACTTTTGAATGTCTCTAAATGAAAATTTCTGCTAAGCTTGTATTAATCTAGCTGCACAGAACTGTGCAAACCAAGACAGTGCCATAACTAAAAAACCCCACTGTTCCCCTTTATTTCTTGTTTGAGAGCGAGAATTAAATGCAAAACATGAGGTTTTTTAATTTATATTTTTAAAAAGAAAATATTAAGGATTGAACTTGGTAACCTAACAATAAATTTATATTTAATCTGAAGTCTGTGTGTAGCTGTATTAGGTCCATCATATATTTGTGCACTGCTCAGCAGAGACAAGGATAGAAGCAGCAGACATGAGAAGCACCCCACATCTGTTAGCAGCAGCGCTCCTAACACACAAAGGACAAAGCATTGTCATGTTCAAGTTCAGGATGTAAAGGACAACACGGCTGAAATACTCGTCAAGTACTGTAACTCTGAGAACAGCCCAGCTTTTATGCACGCAGCCAGGAGTGAAGCGCCATAGCACAGGCTCTAAAGTGCCTGTGATTAACTCAACCCCAGCCTGCACCCAGTCTTCTGGTGCATAGCTTAGTCCATCAGTACACTCAAAAACAAGCGTGAGCACACACATGGTCTAACAACCCACCCCAGCAAACATCAAGGTTCAGGATCAACACAGTCCGCAAGTCTGCAGAACTATTTGGGTTTGGCAACTGCACCAAGTCAGTGGTACTTTCAAAACATGGTTGTCATCCTTAAGATTATTCACCATACAAAAATCAAAAATCCAGACACTTAATTCAAATTAATTGTTGTCACCGCCTTTGAGGCAGCTCACAGCACACACAATGGCAGCTGTGGGTAAGCTCCCATTTTCTCTTATTTCCAGGTGTAATGGGAACTGTGGTGGCCAACTGACATCACCAGAGACTGTTCACAGAGACTACCTATCAACTGACTGTATAATTTCCAGCCTTAAACAACGTTCTTTGGTAAATCACACTCTGAAATTAGTAATAACAATGCCATGAAGAAAAGGCTCATCACTTTCATGAAATAAAAAGTACTATGTGATACCACATCCCATTTTATGCATAAGCAGACTGACCTCTTCTAGATCACTAGAGAACCCCAGCAGACAGTAGCTGTTGTTCCTATTAAAAGATACTGTCATGGTTCTTGAAACCAGAAGAAAAAATTCAAGAGAAATACACGAAGCTACGCAAAGACATTAAACTAAACATTTCAACTGTATCTGAGGAGAAAACACTGAAGGAAAAATAATATTTTTACCCAAGAACAGCCACAAAAACAAAGTCTTAAAGAGGAGAGATACATTTTCATGCCAAAAAAAAAAAAAAAAGTCCCACAGAAACTACTCTGGGAAACAGTGTAGGGGGCTTAATTCAGTGTGAAAGATCTAAACTTGTACACCACCACCACCATTTATAAGACCATTATTTTTCAAGTCTGTCCTTAAAAAAAGACCACATTATTGACACTTCCACACACTGCACTTGGAAAAGAGCTCCTACTGACTTTACAGAAGTCCTAAAAGTTCATGTTATTATTCTGGTTAGTACTTTGTATGGTCATGCAGGTAGACTACCCCACAGACGCAGGAACTCAGCTCCTAAAGGGCGTTAGAGGCTTAAGAGATGTCACAGGTAACACAAAGGGAATCTTTTCTTTCAGTTTGGGCATTGGACCAAACTTCCACAGATGGAAGTTAAGAGACCTGAAGGAATCAAAAACTGGGTGTTATTGGTGCTCACACAACCCCTTATTTACAGAAATATACTCTCCTTTCCCTCATCCCTCCCCTATTATCATCTTTTCTCTGATTTTTATCCTCCAACATCAGTAGGATCACAGAAGAATAACTGTCATTGTTTACAACTTAATTCCTGTTATTTAAAACTAACAAAGGAAGAAAAGATGTCATCTCCTACCGAAATATAAAAACAAGAGCAGTTATTTTGAGAACGTGCCACTGCGGCCTGAGTGAAGCAGTTGGGGACAG